AAGGAGGAGCAGGAGTCACCCCCGCAGCGGGCCCGGGGGAACTCACCATCCGTGTATATCCGCACTGGCTTGTTAGGGTCCTCCCCCTCGGCGAACTCCCCAGGGGCGGGGCCCTGGGGGTCTGGCTGCGAAGGGGGGTCCTCGGTGGCCTTCCGTTTCTTCATAGAGGCCGAAGTGCAGCTGCTGCCGGCTTCCAAAGCGGCCGCTGGCAGCCACAGCCCGCGACTCGGAGGCCCTGGCGAACTGTCAAGTCAACTGGGAAGCAGCAGCTGCGGCGGACACAGTCTGGAAGCGGCAAACGCGGAGCTGCTGCTGCACATCCGGCGGCCACTGGGACAGCTGCAGGCGCCGCAGCCGAGACGCCGCGGCCGCAGTTGGCAAGATAAGAGTAAGTCTTCGATTCTCAAACTGAACTGCGGCTCGGAAATGCGAAGAAACGGCGCAGCAACTCTCCAGTACGTGCATGTAACCGGGCTTTTCAAAGCGGGCGGTGGGCGCGGACGTAGTGCCCAGCGTTACAGTGAGCTTGGAACTCGGGGAAAAATGCAACAAAACCTAATAAAAAGAGATAATGAGAAAGAAATGTGATTTGTACCCAGCTAATGCAGGAAGCTGCCGAGACCCCTGTGCCAACAAGGCACAATGTCGGGTTTCAAACTGGGCTGCGGGCGCTGGCCTACCCTAGCCACAGTACTCTCCCGGGGGCTCCTCATAAAACAGCCCACTGAACTGGTTAGTAAAACCCGCAATTTGTACAATATTTGGTTCAAATTTTTGTTAGCCCCAGGATAACACACCGGCCGGTCGCGCGGCTCCGCAGCGACCTCCGGGACACGACACGGGACGCAGAATCCTATATTCTGGAATGATTTGTGTGTAAATCCCCCTAAATATGCATATCCGTCGTCTCTCCTAGATTTTATCCAGCATATTGCTGCTCGTGCAGCTCCAAGTTTCCGTGCCCGGCCTGAGCCTGCATTTGCTGCAGAGTTACAGCTCGCTGCTCAGCTAAGAGAAACGTCCCATCTTGCTTGCGCTTCAAGTGTCTCAAGAACATCTTCCGAAACAATGCCTTTACTCATCGCCCATGTTGTGCGAGATCCCCAGGCGTAGTCCCCACAGCAGCCAGAACCCGCCAGAAGCCGAAGCGGGCGGCACTATTGCAAAATTATGAGCGCTTCGATAAACATCAACCCTGCCCTTAGCCCAAGTAGCATAAGCGTTATTCTGGAAACAAAAAGAAAAGGATGACTGCCTTCAATAAAACCAAGGAATGAGGAGACCCATCGAACCAACGATGGTCCTGGGCAAAACGTCAATTAATCATGCATTTGAACGCGTAAAAACGCATTACTAGTGAACGCATTGAGCATTCTTTACTGCTCAGTCAAAACATTAGGACAGACATTCAGGTGGAGACTCTCGCCTTGGGAGGAGCATCACGAACTGCAAATACCACCATGACCATTCAGCAATTGACACTTGCTGCAAGCCAAAGATTCCTTGGTCACTCAGCTTACTGCCTTTCTACAAACCACTATTTTGCTGCAAATGGGTCTGCTCGTCGCCCTAATGATTTTTTCCCCTCTTCAACCGTGTGGGAACGGTGTCTACCACTCATGTTGGCACATGTTGGCGTACGCAGTCTAACTGCTAGCTTGGCGTCCTGACACAACCACTTTCTAGACAATCCTCAACTAGTTTCCAGTAGTAAAACATGTATCTATAAAAGCCACCTATCTGCTCTCCAAGTTCGGTAAGTCAACTCCCGCTTTATTGCCCGAATTGGCGGGGTCTGAGCAATCATTACTTCAGACGCCGCGCTTGTGATGGAGCCAACACAGCTAGGAGCGTCACCTTGACTATCAGCTGCCACCTGTAAGTGCAAAAATAGATGCCAGCAGCAACACGCGGGACGTGCGACCCCGCGAAAAGTAGCTAGCCACATCAGAACACTGCAGACCTATTTCGTGCAAAGCTAAACATTCCCGCGCAAGCGTGCCGGCAGTGGGAAGCCGCCACTCGAAGCAAAGATGAAGCTTCTCAGCGGCCCATGCGACAACGGGTGTCAGAGCCTGTCACTATAGCATGCCATGTTTACCGAGCTCACACGGGAACTTGAAAGCTTGTAGTGCCTATTGTGCGCGAATTCTTGGCCATGTTACATGGGAATTACGGAAAAATGCTCGTCTTAACCAGATACAGATGACGAACTTTATCATGGGTCTAGGCATGTGGCTTCGTATGCTGCCGGTTTTCCTGGAAACTTGCCAGGCACAACTATGTGGTCCTCAAGGTTTTAATCGCCATCTTTTGTTTGTTCTTTCATGCATGTCGCTCCACCTGAAGCGTGCGCTTAGAGTATCACAGTCACCTCAACTGTTGTGGCTTCACCTGTCTTGCCATCAGGTAACTCTGCAAGGGTATGGGGTCAAATTTCATATTTTCGTTCGGGCAGTGGTCACGATTTCCAGTGTGGCACGTGATGAGGCAGCTTCACACGCGTGGTTAATAAATCAAGTCGGACACCTACCAATCTACCCACGCTACGCAACATGGATTCCCACTGTTGTGCGCAGCACTATACAGTAGCGCAGAAAACGCCTTCAGGGTCATATAAACCTGAGTGTCTTAATTGGCATGCTAAATCGAATGAGTAAAAGCGCAAAGGAATGTAGTCTTTTGGTGATACGGCCTGGTGTGCTTTCCAACCAGGCTCAGGGATTGGGGCTGACAAGAGCACTGGAGCTGTAGCCCCCCGCAAGCATATCGGAGCGCCGATAAAAAAAATCGCTTTCGTTTGTGCTGCAGGCAGCATTTGTACTAAGTTAGTCTTTGTTGCAGTTCGCCATTAGTGGCTGACAGGGGTTGTGAACACGTGTCACAAATTTCACTTCCTTCTCCCACATTCATGGCTGTCCATCTAGTATCTCATTATCTTGCATGGCCACACCTCTTCCCATTCGGGCTGCAAACATCACTGTTTACTTTTCGCGATTTCCCCTTTAGTGGAGTCCGACTAACTCTTCCAGCATGTTCCTTTGCTCTCCGTTACAGAAGTGACAATGAAGACAGTGCTACTCCAGCCACCGACCACTCGTGTTTATGATATCCTTGAGCTACATGCACTACAGCAGGGTGGATCTAGTTAGGTTATATAGTCTCGGCTCTATTTCTATATAAGCACATCCTATTTCTACAAGGCCTTTGAGAAATCTCGTGGTGCTCTTCTCTTTATGGCTTGCTGAATTTTTGTGCGATTGCACTTTTTAGGGTTTGTTCCTCTAGTATCAATTGTTGGAGCTCCCCCATCGGCATTAGCTTGCTGACAGATATGCGCATGAGGAGCAGCTGTGCAACAGTTGCCGAAATCCGGGGGTGCAGCAGTCTGACCGTGCCCTTCATGTAAGTTCTGCGGCTAATCGCGTAGTGAACAAGGCTTCGCCTCACTCCTACATGGTTACCCTTTTCAGTACATAATACTTTCAGACCCAAAAATGGTCGTGGATGCGTAGAATATTAAATACTGCAACGTTATGGGCTATGATGGTGCGGCATTGTAGTGCTACACACCACACCTCTGACTTTTAGTTGCTGTAGATAGTATGTAAATGTTGTTTGGGCACCTCTAGTGTAGGTTATTCGGTTGCTCGCAGGTACACACACTACCTTGAGGTTACGCATTATCGTGGGAGTCCAGACTTTGTTTCATACTGCGGCAAGCTCAGCTAGGATCCTACGTGGTTCTTCACAAGCAGCTATGGAAGAACTCAAAAACATTAAGTTCTAATGCCCATTGTTCAGTACTGGCTTCTCGAAGCACCTAGTCTTGTCATAACCTCTTGGCCCGGGGTACACGTTCCTCACTACCTATGGGATCCCTGGTAGCCTCGTTTATCCAGCCTAGTTCTGGACTTCACAGAGTCCTATGACCCAGAAAAATTTTGCTTTTCTATATAAACGTGTACATAAAAGTGTACATGTATGTTTTTGCCTTTGCAAATTTACACTTTTATGTACACTTTTATATATCACTTTGGTGTCGCTGTTCACGTGTGCGTCTCTGTAGAGCCAGCCAATCGGTTCAAAGGTCCCAGAAAACGCCGAGAAAAAGCAACAGAAATGATTGATTCTGAGCTATAGGGGGATCTGAATGGTGCGGAGCTCTTCGTGGCTTTCAACAAACCCCTTTTGCTGCTTCGTGCTTCTGGCCAGCAGACTCATTCGCAAAAGGCCTTCAAGCTCATCTAATTCTGAGTATATTAATTGATATGCTAACTAGAATGAGTAAAACCGCAAAAGAACTGAGTTTCTTGGCGAGGAGGCCTGGTGCAATCCCTTTGTTGGAATTCTTTGTGTTGTGACGAGGTCAACACCAGCTGCATAGAACTACGCAGAAACATACGCATAGTGCAACATCAAATAGAAAGCCCTCAACAGATTGTTGCCTGGTGGCAACATCGGAAATGGAGACGGCAGAAGTTATCTTGTCGAACTCACTTTGCCTCCCACGTAACCTTCCCACAGCACAACTACCCGTACTCCTGCTACTGCTAACAAGACTCCTCCTTGCAGTTGGACTCAGAACAACTGTGGGGACTATATTTGCTGAATGAAACACTTCCCCCCGATCACTCACGGGGCCTCAGAGTGCCCTTGCCTAAGACCCCTCTGTGCCCCCCGACTCACAAGGCCGGGAGTTCCCGTTTTTTGTGCCCCCGGGAAGGTCTTCAGTGCATTTTGACTTTATCCTCTCCCGCAGCTTTTGCCCAAGACCGGCGCTGGCCTCTCTTTCAATGCAAACCTGCAGGACCTTCCCGAAGCGCCACTAGCACTTCACCATACTGGTGTCTGGAGCTCCTTGGAGTCGTTCTCTAGAGCCCGTCACCAAACGGGGGAGAAGTGATGAAGGTTTAGTTTGTTATAACTGCGAGGGAAGCTCTGCTGCTACTGAAACCCTCATGTAGGAGTTGTTGCGAGGCGGCATGCAAGATGTAGGGCACTGGAGTTAAGCGGAAACTGGCGGTTCTGGGGAAAAGCCCCACTAGACTCTTAAAAAGGACATTTAAAATGCAGAATAATATTTTTAATTACGAATTAGGGAGGGAGGACGGGCGCGGAGGCTGCAGTGCACTTGTGTGCTCGACACCGCAACCCAGCCTTCTGCACCCGTTCATGAGCCGTGGGGTTACAACTGCATGGGAGGGGTGAAGTGGGTCGCGCACTTGTTTGTCTTCTCCATGTAAAGTTATTTATTGTTCCGTGTGCTGTTTCTGGTGGCGTTGGCGTCTTTTTTGCGTCCGAGTTCTCCCTAAAATGGCGAAGTGAGGCTGCGCGGGTTGCTGGTCAGTGCTCGCCTTCCTGGGTTGTGTACGGCCCCACAGGGTGGGCAGCAGGGTGTGACTGGCCTTTGTCCAGGGCGTGTTTGCAGTTTGGGAGTTGTGGGTGTTGGGGTGTTTGTTGTTGGCGGGCTGCTGTGCGCAGAGAACCCGCGCTGGGGAGCCCCCCGATCTTCATCGGAGACGATGTTCGATACAGCCCCGAGGAGTTGCTGCTGCCGAAGCAGTACCACAAGTACGTGGAAAACATAATAATTCCGAACGGGCTGCTGATGGACCGCGTGGAGAAGATGGTGAGTGGAGAGAAGCGGAGTTCGGCGGGCGCGAGCGGCGCCGTGGGGCGTCAGGGCTTCGCCAGTGCGGTGTACGTACAGCGCAGAGCGCGCGGCGGCGCAGAGCTGCGCAGCGCGGCGAAGGAAAGGGCGCAGTGCGGACACAAAGCGTCTCGGGTTGTGCTGCGGGCTTGCGGCGCAGGCGTACGACATCCGGCGCGTGTACCGGAACAAGGAGCTGCACTGCCTGTGCCTGCTGAAGGGCTCGCGGAGCTTCTTCTCCGTGCTCTTCCAGCACCTCGCGAAGCTGAGCCTCTACGACGAAGACGCGACCTGCGCGCCCTTCTTCGAGCACTACCTGCGGGTGAGTTCGAGCGAAGGCGCTGCGAGCTCGCAGCGGCTGAAGGTGGTCAGCGACGACCTGCGCTGCCTGCGCGACAAAGACGTGCTCATCGTCGAAGACATCATCGACACCGGCCTCACGCTCTCCGAGCTCACCAAGTACCTGCAGCAGTTCGGGCCGCGCAGTCTGCGCATCGCGAGTCTCACGCTGAAGCGCACGCCGCGTTCCAACGGCCAGGCCGCGGACTTCGTCGGGTTTTCTCTTCCCGACAAGTGGGTCATCGGCTTCAGCTTCGACTGCGACCAGATGTTCAGGGACATGCCCCACGTCTGCACCCTCAGCGACAACGGCAGGCGCCTCCTTGGCCTCAGCCCCTAGCGCCGCGCGGCGGCAGCGGCGGCGGCTGTTGCGGCGCGCGGCAGCAGCGGCGAGCTGCGGCGGCGCAGCGGCTGCGGAGGAGAGGCGGAGGCGGCAGCGAGCTGCAGCGGCGAAACGGCAGCGGCAGCCGGCTGCAGCGCCAAACCGTAGCGGCGGTCTGCAGCGGCAAGCTGCAGCCGCGCGTGCAGCGGCGAACCGCAGCAGCAGCCGCGGGCCCCAAAGACTGCGGGCGCCGGCTGCTGGCTCCGCGGACCCCGAAGTCCTCGAGGCTGCTCACGGGCGGCCCAGGCCGGTCTGAAAAACTTCAGAGCTCGCCAATTGTTTGGAGTGTCTCCTGTTGAAATTGCTAGTTTGCTGCTGCTGCTCCTGCAGCAGCACCTGCCAGCAGCCGCCTTCCCGTGATCCGGTGGCGCGCTCGCAGCAATTTCACTCGAGCGAAACACCAGATTCACAGAACAAGAAATCAACCTTCATTTTGCGGGAACAAAAGTGCCAGCTCGGCGAAATATTCCGCTTTCAGGTTCGCGGGCTGGGGTGTACACACACCGCAGCCCCGGCGTTCTTGCACGCCCTCTTCAGTGTTCCGCCGGACTGCCGTCCAGTGTGCGGAAACCCGGGTAGAAACGCAATATTGTGTTAAATAAATGATAATTACATTCAAAAAAAGTGATTTAACTATGCAGAACTGCACGCTTTCCATCAAGATCCGGAGCAGCCCCGCCCCAAAGTCACCCCTCCCCGCCGCGCCTTCTTGCGCTGCCGCTCGTCGTGAAGTATAAACAGCAAAACCTCCACCACCAAACACACAAGTGAACACACCAGGCCCACGATGATGCGCTGCAGCACACACTCACACTCCTGCTGCTGCTGCTGCTGCTGCTGCTGCTGCGGAGCAGCAGGTGTTACGGAAAGTTGCTGCAGGAAATTTATAAGCAGCAAAGCTCCTCTTCTGGGGCCCACCGTTTCGAAGGCCCTCACGCCGCTGTACAGGGCTGCCCAGTAGCCTCCGAGGAAAGTCAAGAAGATTCCAATGAGTGCATTGACTCCCATTCTGCAGCGCAGCAACACCCGCATGCATGCGCGCATGCACCCATGCATGCACGCGTGCATGCATGCATGCACCGTGCATGTATGCATGCGAGTGGCAGTGTCTGTACACCCGGGGACCCACGCGAGGCTGCGGTTTAGGTCCGCAAAACAGTCTTCAGCATCTTTTTTTTCTCCCCACAAACTCTTAATGGCTGCCTGGTGTCTCCTCTCGTCCGCCATCAGTCTCAGCCGCTCTTTGAAACTCAGAGACTCCAGCGGCACAGGAGGGGGCTCTATCCGTTCTGCAGCAGCAGCAGCAGCAGCAGCAGCAAGCTTGCACGGGCCCCCACTGCGGCAGAGCAGCAGCAGCAGCAACCTTGCACAGGTCCCCACTGCAGCAGAGCAGCAGCAGCAGCAGCAGCAGCAGCCACGGAAGCAGCAGCAGAGACTCACCCACGAGGTGCGAGTCCTCGACAAGCTCCGCCATGTTCACTTTGGGGCCATTCTTGCCGGCCTTTTCGTTTGCTGCTTTGACCTACAAGTCAAGCAGCAGCAGCAAAAGTGGCAAAGTTGAATTCCACACTAATAGCACAGTAGCAGCAGCAGCAAAAAGCTTGCACACGCCCCCACTGCAGCAGGGCAGCAGCAGCAGCAGCAAGCTTGCACGGGCCCCACTGCAGCAGAGCGGCAGCTGCAGCAGCAGGCTTGCACAGGCTTCCACTGCAGCAGAGCAGCAGCAGCAGCAGCAGCAGCAGCAAGCTTGCATAGTCCCCAGGCAAACAGCAGCAAAAGTGTCAGAAGTAGAATTTGAAATGAATTTGCTGCTCACCCAGCGCTGCAGCACGTCCAGATCTGCTGCGCCTTTCACCACTAAGCTGCTGCGCTGCTTCGCAGGCACATGGCTTTCTATGAAGCTGCGGATCTGCGGCGTTATTTCTATGAGCAAGCGAGACACTCTCTGCTGCTGCTGCTGCTGCTGCTGCTGCTGTTCCTGTTTGCAAGAGGCCTTGCTGGTGTCTGCTGCTGGTGGTTCTTTGCTGCTTTCATTTTGGCTTCCGCCCGGCGCTGCTCCCACTGTGTCTGGGGCTGCAGCTTTCTCTTCTATCCCTGTGCTGCTGTTGCTGCTGCTGCTGCTGCTGAGCTGCTCTTCTGGGGCGACAGCGGAAAGCCGCCTCTTGCTGCTGCTGCTGGGGGCCCTCGCAGCTGCCTCTTCTGCTGCAGCATCCGCCTTTGCTGCTGCGTCTTGGGGGGCCCGGCGGCGGCGAATGGCTCCTTCGGAAGCTGCAGCTGCAGAGCTGGAGATGCTGGAAGAGTTCAGCTTTTTGATTTCTTCTTTGGAGTTCATTTTGAATGGCTGCGGAGTTGAGTGCCTGTGTTGCCCCGCAGAAGCAAAAGAAGTGGCTGCTGGCCCGTCTTTTGCTGCTGCTGCTGCTGCTGCTGCGAACACTCTCCAGTTCAAGAGAGCCACGGACGGGGGCCCCGCTGTCTTTGGGGGCCCCTACACCCCCGCGGGGATAGGCGAGAGAGGGCCCCCGGGGGATTCCACAGCGAATATGAATCTTTACAACAAAAATAGAAATAAAATGGGGAATGAATTGCGCAAAATGAAGCTCATGGGGCCCCCTCGGCAGCAGAGCAGCCACACGGCACTCGCACGGCTCCCTCCTGCTGGAAACTCCCGGCAGCCTGCAGGAATAGGAAAAACGGAAAAGAGGCAGCCTTTTAATTTGCTCTTGGGAAAAATAAAATGAAAGATAAAAGGCTTTGGTTGTGTGCAGTGACGGGACAGGGCAGCCCCAGGAAGTTGCTGCTGCAACAGCTGCATTCATGTACGTTTGGGTCTAAGCCCGAAGGCGAAGCTGGCCTTTGCGCGGCTGCTGCTGGTGCATTTTTGGTGCTTTAGAAACTGCAAAAGAAGTATTCCCATTTGACCTTTTAAATACGCCGAGGGAGCAACTCAATTGACGAGAAGTTCGGGGAGAATTTTGCGCTCTCTCCCGGTTGGTGCTCGGCAGCGCTGGTGAGAGGGGCGGACAGCATCGACTTATTGAACGCAACAAACGGCCTTAAGGAGCTCTTCCGAAGCTCATCCGACATATAACATTGAATATCAAATTACTCCGACGCGGCTTACTAGTGCAGCAAAAGCGATAAGGGCGGGCGATCCACGGCGTTGCCTGAGATGAGCTAGTTGTTTGTCAAGGTGTCTAGGATCAGCGCGGGAAGGAGTTGAGCGACGACCGACGAGACATCCTTCTTTCTCGAGTTCTGCATTTAAAATCTGTTCTTCTTTCTTGAGAAGAACTCTTTTTTTAGTGTAAGGCTTCTCCTGCCTGCACGTCGGCTCGTCAGTCCAGCCGTCAGTGTCGGCAGCGGCTCTCCAGCGCCGCCGTGGAGGAATCCGCTGCAGTCGGCCTATATTTGCGCAAAACTAGTTAAAGAAGTGAAGCTTTTTGTAGAGATCAATAAGGGTTCACCGTCCGAGGGCTTCCCCCTACCCTGCCGGAGATTGGCAGCCACAATGCCGCAGATGGAGGCAGGCAGCAGAGGCCAGCGCGGAGAAAGCGCTGCCGACACTGAGAGAGCTACTAAGGCGCAGATCTCTCAAGTTACTCAACTCTTTGCTCGACTGCAGCAGGCGAGTTTTGCTGCAGGAGCTGCAGCGGCTGCGGCGGCTGCAGCGTGGCCTGGGGGCTCCCGCGGCCAGCGTTCTGCACAGTTTCCAGAGGCCGGGGCACAACTGGCTGCGTAGAAGGGAATACTTTTGCCCCTTTGTTTCATTTAGTCTTATAATTACTAATCTTTGGTGGATTCTGCAGGAAATCGAAGAAGCTTGCCCGAAAAATGCCATTCACTTCATTGTGGACTTTCTCTGCAAGCACTACCCCGAGCACCTGAAGGGTTTCGCCTCTGTTTGGAACGCAAGTGAGAAGCCAGCGCCTTTCGCCAGCCCTTAGCTGTGCCGGGGCTGCTGCGCCTGCACCAGCTTCCAGCCGCTGCTGCTGCTGCTGCTGCTGCTGCTGCTGTCAGACCCCGAGCTGGAGAGAGAGCGGCTGCTGGTGGTCGAGTTTTTCAAAGCCCAGAAGCTCCCAACTGACGTCGCCTCGCACTTCACCAATGCGGGATTTGACACGGTGAAGACTGCTGCAGCATTGCGAAGGCTTTTTGGCTTAAACTCGAGTTATAATTGCCAAATAAAAGGAATAAAAAGCCAATTTTACAATACTTTTCACTACTATCCCTTTTATTAGGGCGAATTGAACGATTTAGGCCTCGAAATGGACTTATTAGTGCGTTATGTCACTCAAAAATTCATTTAAATTTCAACTTTTCGCGTTTCCCCGCAGCTCGAAACCCTCTGCACGCTGACGGCTGAGGCGCTGGACGACATCGAGAAGTTCAACCAGACGCGTTGGCTGCCGGGGCACAAAGTGCGGCTGCAGGTGAGGACTTGAAAGTATTTTGTTGCTTTTTTTGCACTAAACTTCATTTTCTGCAGCTTTTCGTAGCTAGCTGCTGCGCATCTCCTGGCTAGCCACGCGCAGCTGCAGGCGCATGCACAGAGCCCGTGCGGCTGCTGCACTGCAGCAAACCTTCGCCGACATCGCGGGGAGAGTGCGGGCCTTCACCGAAGAAAGGGACTACTTGCTGCGGGCTGCTGCGGGCTTTTGCCCCCACCCGCAGCTCGTCAGCAAACAAAGTCTTGTGCCAGTCCAGCCCGCGCCATTCCCCTCTTCTTTCCCCCCTTCGAGCAGCCTGTGCTGCAACCTGGGGCCTTCGCAGGCCTCCACTCCCGTGGCTTACCGCGCGGCGCCCTACACCGCCGTCTACAGCCCCACTTCCACTCAAGTGGTGACTTATTCCCAGGACTTGACTCGAAATTAGTCTTGGGGCTTCGCGGCGCCCGCCGATCCCTCCGGCTCCCCGCAGTCTGCGCCGAGCAGCCAACTTCACAGGCTCTGCCGCCGCCTGGACTTCGCGTCCGCTGAAGGCATTTGACGCGACCTTAAAGCGCTCTAACTCCGCAAATAAAGGATTTAAACATGGCTTTACTCTATTTCAGGCTTTTCCTCTTTTGTGCTCTTCCTCTTGGCAATGCTCGGGAGTTCTTGCTGCCCGGCTGCTTCCAGTTTCGTTGCTTGAGAAGCAGTAGGAAGAAGGCAGCGAAACGAACTTGTATTAAAAAGCGGAAACGCAGCGATAATATTCTTTCGTTAGCAAGTCTCAAAAGCTCAACAGGTCCAATTCGTTGCCACAGCGAGTTGAGCAGATCAGCTCTGTAGGCGTTCTGCACAAGGTGTATCGACTGCGAAAGCGAAATTCAACTTTGCGATTCCCCCCTCTAACCTTCTTCACGGGTGTTGCGCTCGGCCCTGTCATTTAGTGACCACCTCAGAATTAGGACTTTCCAACACAATGAGGAGGATAGTGTTTGCCGTGGGTGCAGCGCTTGCTGTCAAGCGGGCGGAAGCTGATCTTCCCATTCACGCTGTCATTGTGGGTTCGATTTGCGCGGCTCTCCCTGGCTTGTCTTGAAACTGCTGTTTGCTGCAGTCCGACGTTGTCGGGACTTGGCGGTTTGTTTTAGGGGCAGAGGAGGCGGACGAGCCGCTGTCGTGCGGGGGCGGCGCCCCGAACATGAACATGGAAAACTTGGACCCGGGTAGGCCCGTCGCGGGAGTTGGACTAAATTTGATGTTTTCGGAACATTTTTCGCATTTCCTGCTCAACCAGGCATGGAAAACTACTACTCGTGGATCACGAAAAGCGGAAAGGGGCTGACCAGCCGGCTCGTCTTGACGGACCAGCGGGCAACTCGCTCGCAGACCCACACGCGGAAGCACTGGAGCTACTTAGTGGTGACGCTGCCCAACAGTGGCCTGCAGATCGGCACTTGGACAATGGTTTATGACGAGGGCTTCGAAGTAAGTCTTGGAGTTGCTTTCCAAGGGCTGTCTTGAGTTCTGCTGCGCAGCTGCGCATCGGCAAGAAGCGTTTCTTCGGCCTGATGAAGTACAGCAAGGCGGGGGGCAAGGAGTGCAGCAGGCGGGTGAACGGTCAGCGCGCATGCACTTGGGAAAAAGTTCGTTTGTGCAAAAAGTGGCATTTCAGGGGACTCCGAGGACCCTTTTGGCAACACAAAGTGCTACGCCACGGACCCTTCGAAGTTGCAAATGGGGTGGACTGTAAAGGTGATTCAAAATGGTTTCAAGTCCCTCAAAAAGCTGCCAGAAAGTCCGCTGCCGCCCCAGGAAACCCGCGCTGCAGCAGAGGCCCCCTTCAAGTGGGGCTGCTTCTACGCAGAAAAAGAAATGCCCACCAACACGGAGAACTCCTTCGTAATGGCCGGCCACGGCTACGGGCTTCCGGCGCTGCCAGCCGCGGGAGCTGCTGCTGCAGCGGGCCAAAAGTGCGGCACTCCTTTCCTGCAGTTCCAACTCAAGAAAAGCTTTGCTGCAACAAAGCCCCACAGGCTCCTGGACCGCCAGCCACAGCCAGTTCGCCCACACGCCCCCCAGCGAACTCGCCATGTACAAGAGCCACATGGGCTATCAGAAGTTCCACAGGGCAGTGGCTTACGCGTTGCCCGCGTTCGCCCAGACGGGCCAAACGCCCAGTTTCGGTGAAGACCCAAATCTTTTCTTTTCAGTTTCCCCCAATATTCAACTTTTCACAACTGCAGCCGCGGCTCTGCAGGACAAGCCCTACGCGTGCGAGTTGCCCGTCATGCTGCACGCTGAGGAGGCTGCAGCGCCCCTCCCGGCCGAGTGGTAAGCGATCTTCGGACTTTCTCTCAATATAATTCTATACAAGTGTATTTAAGGACTTGGGGGGACCCTTTTTTGTCTGTAAATTACGACCCGGAGTCAGATCCTGTGGTAAACCAAAGTGAGAGCTCATTTGTTCAACTGAGAAATTCGAAAAAACTACGAGAATTGAAGAGAACTGCGGCAGCTGCTACGCCGTGTCGAGCGCCTTCGTGCTCCAAAGGCGCTTTGAAATTCTCATCAAAAAGTTGTTTCCGAACTATGACCAACCTGTATTCCACTCTCCGCTTTCTGCACAAAGCGTCCTGAGCTGTTCAGTAAGTTGCACAAACGCAGCCCACGTTGCTGTTCATTTTTCATTTAAATCTTGAATTACGACATTGGCGTAGCCATTCAACCAAGGCTGCGACGGAGGATTTCCTTTTCTGGTCGGGAAGCACGCAAAAGAGTTCGGCATCGCGACAGAAGAATGCCAGAAATACATGGCAACGCACAGCCCATCAGTTGCACCGTGTCTAATGCAGTGGGTCACTTATTCCTTTTCAAATATGAGTCCAAAAATGGCATTTTCGTGCAACAATCCCGCTGCGCAGCCTCGGAAACTTCCTCCGCTCTCCTGCGGAATCAGCCCCTGGCTGCGCACCGGAAGACCGCTGGTGCGCAGCAGCTCGCTGGCTTTTTGTGCAAGTTCTGCTGCAGTGAAACGCTTCTAACTTGCTGCAGGTACGCTCAGGAGTACAACTACGTGGGTGGCTTTTACGAGGGCTGCAACGAAGAAAAGATCATGGAGGAAATATACAATCACGGGTGCGGCTGCCCCCCCACAGCGTCCGCCACCTCTCTTATACCATTCCCGTAGGCCTGTTGTGGCGGCCCTTGACGCCCCTGACGCTCTTTTTCTTTACGAAGATGGCTTTTTTGATGTGAAGCCTTCTGACCACGGGAAGCTGTGCGACTCGCCCAACAAGGGGCTGACAGGTTTGTGCAGCTTTCTCTCTGGCTGTGTGCAGCAGTTTCACCCCCGCGGGACTCTACCAGGATGGGAATACACGAACCACGCCATAGCGATCGTGGGCTGGGGTGAAGACCCGTAGGTGTACTTAGTCTCGAAAAAATAATTGCAAAAAACAAAAAGAAATCAAATGCAGACCCAGGATGCCCGGCATGACCACCCGCAAGTTCTGGGTGGTTCGCAAGTAAGCGGGTCACTGGCTTGCTGCGCCTGCGACGCTCAGCCCCTCACCCTCCCACGCAGCACCTGGGGCAACGACTGGGGGAGAAACGGCTACATTAAAATGAAAAGAGGCGAAAACCTCGCAGCTATAGAGTCCCAAGCAGTTGCAATAGACCCAGATTTGAGAAGAGGCAGAGCAGCGCTGCTTGTGCAGCAGCTCCGGGCTCAGGCCGCCAGCCAACAGCAGCAAAGCGCTGCTGCGTAAATCGCTGCAGCTTTAAAAAGAATGAAAGCGCTCGCCAACTGCAGCCTTCACTACGCACTGATCAATAGAATCGATGAAACAGCTGCTCTCACTCCACTTGCTGGTGCATTTGCTGCCTCGCTGCCTACTTTTCAAGTTTCAAGGCCTTCTGTCATTATCCAAGACGCAATGAGTTATAAGCCTCATGGAGCTTGGCAGCGCTCCATCTTTCAGAATCACCATGTCTTATCCTTTCATATTCATAGTGTCGCAGCGTCTTCGAAACCGGCGTGGCTGGAGGCAGTTGCTTCTTGAGGCCACGTTTGACTAACAAACGAGGTTGTCTTGCCCTAACACAAATGAAGGTGTCCCCTCCAACTATTCAGATATGATATATTTGAATGAAAATTGCAAGAAAAAGACCAATTGATTCGCGCAAGGGGAAATGGCAGCCCAGCATGGGCCTCGCAGAGCGGTCGTGGTCGGCTGACCAAGCCCTTTTAGCAGTCTGTCTGAGAAGTTGCAACTACCACAGAAGTCTTAGAAACTAAAATAACATCTGAATTAGAGGTTTGTAGAAACGTCGAAGCTTTGATGGATCCTTCGTGAGACGCCTCAGCAATAAGGTTTGAGGCGAGTGGCGCGGCGCAGCGGGCAGGAGGTCAGCAGAGCACCGAGATCAGCTGATGTTTCTGCCCCTTTTCTTCTTTTGCTCATTTCAATTCACCATTTTAGAATGCACAGGAGTTTCTTTCAGACCAGTGGGTCACAGGTGCAGCGCGCATCGCCAGCCCGGAGCGTTTTTCCCTGGGGGGTTGCTGTCTGCTGCAGCCCGAGGAGGAAGGCACCGCGAAACAGAGGAGGAACATTCCCAATTAGTTTATTTTTCTAAAGTTTGCTGTTTGAGAGCTGCAAATAAGTCTCAGAAGAAGCTGCAGCGGGAGCTGCCGACAAGTGACAGCCCGCAGCATCGACAGCAACTGTTTGCAGAGGGGGAAAAATGGGCACAGCGAACGATTCCCACTTCCTTCCTCCCTCCCCTCCCACTGTATCTCCAAAAAACAAAATTAAAGAATGGTGAACTTCATTTGGCAGCTTTTCTTCGAGGATTCGACTCCAGGAGAAGCCTGGAGCACTCTCGCGCGGAAGCTCGGCAGCTGCAGCCGGGCTGGGCTGCGCTGCTGCTGCGGCTGGCGCTGGTGCACCTGCTGAGCTCCGTGGCAGTGGCTGGGGGCCTCGCAGCAAACCTGTGGCTGTCTCGCCGGGGCCTCTGTGTGCGTCTGCCGCGCGGGCTGGGGCCCCTGGGGGCCCTGGGGGCCCTGCACGCGCGCGCCCACTCTTGGCTGCTCTCCCGCGTCTGCCCCAGCAGCCCCTGGCTACAGCAGGTCCTGCTTGGCCCTTTATTTGAGGAACTCGAGTTCAGGCTGCTGCTGCCGCTGCTGCTGTCACGGGCAGCTGGCCTTGCGGGGGGCCTTGCGGACAGCCGCGCGGCTGCTGCTGCGGAAGCAGAGCAGCAGAGTCGCAAAGAAGGGGGCAGGGAGGCTTCTTTGCAAGGAAGTAAAGACGAAAAGAAGTGGCTGAGGGAGGGGCGGGCGAAGGGCGTTTGTGCGGCATTCAAGTGTACGTACAGCCCAGGAGTTGTTGTTGCATGCTCAGCGCTCTTCGCGTTCGCCCATTATGAGTCATTTCCACTTTCTGAAAAAAACCCTTTTCAGTCCCGCCGTGCTGCTGCAGCAAAGTGTTGCATTCGCGCCAACCGCTGGCTGACAGCTTTGCTGCAGGGGCTGGCCTGGGGCTTCGGGCCTCCTCTGATTTTGAAAGGCACGCAGCACTCAGCTGCTGCGCTGCTGTCGCTGCTGCTGTCCTTCTTGCTGCACGCCCTCAACAACCTGCAGTCTGCTGCGCTGCTGCAGACGCTGCAGCGGCGCCGCAGCAGCAAACGCCGGGCCCAGAACCCCTTCGCGTTTGGAACTCTGGAGTCTAGTTAGTCTTCACTCCAAGTAAAACTTTTTATTTGATTAATTTGGTTGTTTAAGGTCTTTCTCCCTCCTCCTTATTCGACAATCCCACAGTTTGTCTGTACTTGTGAACGCTTCTGCTGCTGCCGGGTCTTTCCAGCTAAACTTGAGCTTTCTAGTCCTGCTTACCCTGGCCTCTCTGCAGCCATTTTGCCTCTGACTTCAGTTTAATGCACAATTAACAGAGAGGCTGCTGCAGCGGCAAGAGGAGAGCAGCAACTTTAGTTCCCATACCAATTTTGCCTATAATTGTTGGCTGGCCCCCCGTTGGCCGCAGCGCACAATGTTGTATGCAGAGATTAGGCAAGCACTGCTGCTTCAAACATTCTTTTGTGTGGTTACGTGCTATCTGAAGGAGCACCGCAGCAGCTAGCTGTAGCTAGCTGCAGCTAGCTACAAGGAGTGCGGCGAGAAGTGGAGGGTGCAGCAAACTTTGCACGCAGAGTGTACGGGGTTCAAGTGAATGGGATCTGGGTCTTGACTTATATTTGAAACTCAAGGACTTCTGTTCTAGTGGCCCGCTGCAATTGTTCGGGCAAGTTGTACTCCCAGTTTGTTGCTGTGAACGGCTGGGCACTATGTAACATCAAACCAGCGCTCAAACAGTTCTGTTCACTAAAAATAATCGAAAAAAGAAACTGCTCTGCGTGAACGCAAGATTTCCATCGTGAAATGTACAAAACCTTGGGACGATGCTCCCAATGAACCGTAGACGCTGCGGTGTGCACTGTCACATCGAGAAAAGCGTGGCCCTATTGAGGTCCCTATGAGATAATAAAAAAATAAGTACAATTTGTTTTAGAGGGGCTGATATAACTTTTTGTATCCGCCAAAATCCTCCCTTGCTCAAGCTGCGTTGGTGCCTTCCCCCTGTTCGCCTCGGCGGCGGTCTAAAACAGCAGCAAGCGGGAAGAAATGGGCGCGCCGTGTTAAGAACATAGGCGCCTTCTACGACTTTTGCGATCAAATAATACTATTTCGAATTTCAGAAGATTGCGGAAAGGGAAAAAATGCTCTTGATGGCTTCTTCCTGCCTTGCCGTTCCATACCACCGCAAACCGCTCAGCGGCGGACTTGTCTTGTAGCCAGCTGAAGTCCGCCTGCTGCTCCTTGTTTAGCTGCTGCAAGGCGAACTAATTTAAAATCCATTTCAGTGAAGCTGCTTCATAATGCTTGTATACTTGGGGTTTTCTCCGAGTCCCGCGGCGCGTTCGGCTCCCCCGCTTCGATGCACACTTTGAACACGATGTGCACTGGCGTGGCAAGGCTCCCCGTTCCTGAGCTGCAGGAGTCAATCTTCATTTTCTTTTAAATAAGAGGTTTATCAAGCCTGCCCCGCAGGCTCAACATTGGCCGCCTGCCTCCCCAAACAGCCGCCACAATAGGCCACAGAACCAAGAGGCATGATGGGGGGTCCGTTGCTGCAAGCCACCTGGCTGATTCTCCTTGCTAGTGCAGCCCTCAGCCACCTTGGAACAAATGCTGTAAGGCGTTTTGCTCAGCTCGAGCAGAGAGCCATGGGAGCACCAGCTGCAGGGCCACGCGCAAACTCCTTCGAAGATTCGTCAAACGGAGGCGCCCCAGTTTACGCCTTGCCAGACTTCTACCACTCATACGCCAGCATGAAGAAGGAGCTCCGAGATTTGGGGAAGTCCTGCGGCCTTTCTGTGCACCAAGCAGCCCTCGGCGGCGTGACGGTGGGTCTGATGATGTTCGTTTACTTCGTCTATTTCCTGTTCGTTCATTTCGTCTGTTTCCTGTATCACAGACACTGTAAAGATGCAAGGTAGGGATTTTTAATTTTCTTTTGCCATTTTCTCCATTCCCTTCTAAACATTTCAACACTTGCACGCAGATTTCGGCGCTCTTCCGCAGGTTGAGTATTTCCATTTGAAGGAAAGCCCTGACCCATCAGAGCGGCTCTTCCTGCTGCCCGGGGACCACCCAAGGGAGTTGGTGGCCCCCGAAGTCGTTTTTTCCTTTCTCAAAGCCTTATGCAGCAGCCAAGAGGCCCCCGAAGGCTACAGTGCCGAGGCACTAAGGCAGAAGCTGCATGTCATGGCAGTACTTGCAGTCAGCGTCCCAGCAAGGCGCGCAGTTGAAAAGGCAAGCAGCCCCTTCCTGGGTGGCCCCTAACGAGAATCTTTGCGGAACAATCATCAAAAAGGAGAAAAAATCCTCAAAATAGGCCCCCTTATGCAGGTCTTTTCACTTTTGAATGCTTTATCATTTGTTTGCAAAGTAGATACACAGTGCCTGCGGCCTCCATGCCTTGCATGCCGCAGGGCTGCTGCGTTTCTTTCGTTTCAGGGAGCCTACTGCATGCGAAGCAGCCCAAAGGGAGTAGATTTTAATAGGAATTGGGGGCAGAGTGGCGACTCGGCAGCAGCAGCAGAGAAAAGCCACCCAAAGTACCCGAGGGCCCCGCAACAGCCCGAAATACAAATTCTGAAATCCCTTTTGAAGCGGTTTCAACCCACTGTCTTCGTCTCCGTGCATTCCGGGAGATTCGGAGTCTACACATCTAATGAGGCCCCCTCAGGAGAGCCAGAAAAGCCCCCCTCCACCCCTAGCGGCGGTGCAGGGCCCCCGGACCATTTGCAGGAAGCTGCAGAGGGGGCCCCCACCACCGCTGGGGAGTCTCGGGAGCAGCAGATAGCTGGAGTTGTCCATGCTTCTGCTTGTTCTGGCCACAGTTTTGACTGCGAGTTCGGATCCATTGACATGTTTTTCGAGGCCGCCGGGAACGAAATAGATTTTGTGAAGGCACATCTAACCACTGACGAAGGCGAGCCCCCCGTAGCCCTCGCTCTTGAGGTGTACAGACAGGGAAACCTCAGCAACGAAGACGCAAAGCTGAAGGAGGCTAAGGCTCAGTTGCTGTCTTTGTTGAAGGCCCCCGAAGAACTTCTGGATCTGACCCTGCCGGCTGCAGCAGATGTGGCAGACCTGCTGCCACAGGAAACTGAGGGGGAAGACTCCCTGTACACTGCAGAGGCCCTCATTAAGTGGCAGCTAACGAGAGGCCCTCTGGACCGACTCAGCTGTTTCTTATCTTTCAACCCTTCCACGCAGTCTGCCCTCAACTCCGTCGTGCGCCTCTGGGTAGAGGCCCTGTTTGCCCTCGCTGAGTCTCTCTGACAATTTACGGGCCCTCAGGGAACGTGTCTTTTTGTTCGTGATTGTAGCATACATGCACAAGGGGAATATAAACACATATATTTATAGGGATCTGTTTGACATACGCAAATGTATTTATTTTCATTAAGTCGAGCACCGGAAGAGAGGAGCCAAACACACAAACGAAGTGTGTGGGGGGCCCCCACTAAGGTGCACTTACACTCCGCAGTGTGTCTCTACGGCAGCCAGTTGGCTACAGCTGGAGCCACAAATACACAGCAGCAACACTCAGCTGCTTGCAGCATCTACTGGGCGTACTAACACACCTCTAAACTGAGTGCAGCAGAGTGCATTGGGGTGTCTGTACAGCCCATTGGGCTCCGTTTTTTGCCTCGAGGCGCCTCCACTGGGGCCTCAGAAAAACGGCTAGAAACGGGACGGGGCCCCCATATGCCGAATGGGGCCGCTCTGTATACTGGGGGGCCCCCCAGGCGCTCGGTCTTGGGGGCCCCAAAGTGTGGATGCGGCTAATTTTATTTTGTGTCGGTGCGTGGGTCCTTCTACCTTTGTGGCTTCAGCTACTCTGCGGGCCTGACAAATACGTGCTGGCATTTGTATCTTCAATTGAAGCTAAAGTGAAAGCTAGGGCCTCTTGAACTCTTTGTACGCATTTGTATCTTCAGAAAAAGCTAGAGCTTGATGAACACTCTGTTGGCAATGTCCGACACCAACCAACTTATGCCTTCCAGAAGGCCTGTTCCGTTCTTAGCGCTGCAGGGGATGACCGCCCAGTGGCGAGACACACTCATGTCTGAGAGGCCGAGAGCCTGAAAGACAGCCGCAGATTGGCAGATAACAGATCTGATATGCCCAAGTAGACCAAGTGCTGAACTCGTCCTGTACTGTGTCGTTCTGCTGTATATACACGCAAGTGTAAACGCCTCAGACTGCCGACTAGGACCAGCAGAGGCGCTAACTGGTGGCGGCGCTGCAGCTGCTCAGAGCCACACAAACCCAAACCCTCATCCCTCAGCCCGCAGCTGCTTTACTTCTTTGATTCCCTCAGGCGACAGGGCAGAGGGCACATCTTGCTTGTTCGCTAAGATCAACACGGGGACTCCCGCGAGGCGCTGCAGACAGAGCCACAGCAGCTTGGGAATAGGCTGCTCTGACTTGTTTATTAGTGCCTCTCCAAATCACCGTAATTGGATATTTAGAAGCCTTATGGGACTAAATAGGGGAAAAGAATGATTTTTGTTGGGCCAAAAAGAACAGCGGCAAAGTCACACACATGCAGGTCAAGCCAGGCAGACCACAGACACACACAAGCTGCGACGCCGAACACTAGAAGACACTGACACCTCCTTAAGGCATAGGGCGAAAAAGTGAAAGTGAGGATTAGGCAAAAGCGAAGGCACGCGATGTAGGCGAAAGGGAAAAGAAACCCAGCATTCTGCGTGTGCCTGTAGTTAAGAAATTGGCGCGGGATGCCTTTCGTGTGTCCTTGTACTTAATTATACGTAAATGGCTTGCGTGTCTTTGCATTTATTCGCATTTATGGAAAAGGCATGCTTGCTTGTTAGGGTTCGTGTGCTGGAGTTCATCTTTGTCTTTACCTCTTCCTTGAGCAGTCTGTGCAGTTCTTCTTTGCAAGTTTTCATTCTGTCTCTGTCTGCGGAATCCACCACCCAAATGAGACCGTCTGTACACTCGAAGTAATGCCGCCAAAAGGCGCGAATAGTCCGCTGGCCGCCCACATCCCACACACTGAGTCGAAACCTGAAGAACGTGAATTTGCAAAAAATCAAGAATAATCAAAATAGCGCAGCAGATTATCTAAAAAGGAAATTAAAACAAACAAATCGGCACAAGCGCCACTGTCTGGAGAGGCGTGCAGCCGGAGAGGGAGCTGCGAATGCCTGAGTGGGCGCCAAGCCTACGCAGCAAAGTCTAAGACTTTGAAATGTCGAAGGCTTTAAAAGGTCTTAGACTTCTTACGCAAGAAAATCGCACTGACCCTTGAAAAGAAAAAGGATATATTGTGAACCCAAGAGTGGGCGCCACAGAGTCCACCTCAGAGCCATTCAGCCGCCGCACAAATGTTGTTTTCCCCGCCGCATCCAGACCGCTGCATGGACAAAAGAAGAACACAAAAGAGTAAGAAATAAATAAATAACAAAAAACCTCAAGGTGCATGCACTCCTAAGGAAACAGCGAATATCCCGCTAAAGGCTGCCACTGCAGCTCTTCAGTGCAAAGCAAACAGGAACTTGCACACAGCCGCAGCCAGCACAAGGCGCAGGGAGCAAATCTATTCAATTCAGACAGCCTCAAATATGGCTTCTGCGTAGCCCACTGCCTCGCGGCTTTCCTCCGGAGGCTTCTTCTGGGCCCGCGTGTCACCCTTAGCCACTTTAGTCTCAACACGTGGGCCTATTGGGGGCCCCCAAGGGCCCAGTAGAGGCGCCGCTGAGTGTGCTGCTGCTGCTACAGCGGCAGTTTGCCCCTAGGTGCCCCAGTATAGGCCCCCGCTAAGGGCTTTGTGGAAGTGGGGAGGCGCACAGCATTAGAATCCGCAGCTCTTTCTCCCTCGCCTTCGTTTTCCTTAAAACCTTGAGGAGCACCATTGCCAATTGCGGGCCCCGGGGCCCCCGTGCAGCGCAGCGTCTCCCAACTAAACACAAAGTCAACTTAAGGGGCCCCGAAGCCCCAAATTGGCGTAGCTGAGGGCTAAGCTCGAGGGGCCCCGAGGGCCCCTCTTGCCCGGTGCCAGCCGGCAGCGCAGACCAGCAACAGCTCCCTTGCTCGGCTCTCGAGAGCCTTTTCCCGCCTTCCTAGCGCGGAAAATGAGAAATATAATGCAATTTCAGACAAAACATAAGCCTAATTTGTGTAGGAGGCAGTATTTTCGCAAAGACAAGCTTAGGGTGGTTGGGCACACGACCGGGTCAGTGGCGGCTGAAGGGGACCTTGCCAAGCCACCCCGTGCGCTCGTTCCTTTTCTGCACTCAGCAGCTTGCATGCAATTGCATGCATCCATAAAGGGCCATTTCAAGGCCAATTTACTCAAGAGGAGGACCTTTGCCCTCTTTCTCGAGGCTCACACACGAGGGGTTTGGGGCTCCGGGGCCCCCAGGCTCCACCACAAAGTCACTTGCAGCCGTTCACAGCCATCCAGGCCCGTTGGCTGGACGTCTTAGACTAATATCCTGTCAAGGGGGCTCAGCATCCTCCTGGGGGAGGTGCAGAGGCCCTTTAACGGAGGCCAAGTGGCCAACAGGGGCCCCACAAGGGGCCCCCAAGGAAACTTCTTTTTGCCACGCTTGACCGTCGGAACATCTTCAGGTGCCTCTGAGCCGACCTCCTCTGCAGAGAGGCCCCCTGCTGGGCGACAAGGGGCCCCCACTATGTGTGTAGAACGAGGCAACTGGCCAGCGGCTAGCTGAGGCATGGGGGCCCCCCAGATGCCTTCCCAGAAAGAAGGCGGGCCCGATGGGGGTCCCTACGGTGGGTCCTCAGCGGACCTTTCCGTGGAGTCCGTCGATGCGTTTCTGAACGAAGTGACGCAGCTGCTGCTGAGGGCCCCCCACGGGACTGCAGCAGCAGCAGCAGCAGCAAAAGGCGTGTGGGACTACGACCTCGGGAGCCTCCTGTCTGACTTCCTGCGCCTAACTGAGGAAGGCCTCATAGAAATGGAGCATGCTGGGGAGGGGCCCCCCGAGGGGTCCCCTGCTGCTGCTCTATCTCCACGGGAGGGGGCCCCCACCACCCCGGGGGCCCCCGCCCACACAATGAAGTTCTCTCACGCTGCAATGCTGGTGGAGAGATCAGCAGCTGTTTGGGGCCTCCGCATAGAAAAGCTGCATGCGCTGGCGTTTAATCTGCTGCAGCACGCGCAGCAGCAGCAGCAGCAGCAAAGGCTCGAAGGCAACCCTCAGGGGCGCACCGGGGCCTCCGCAGCTACACACCTCTCGCTGCAGCAGCTCAGACAACAGGCGCTGCAGCAGCTGGGATCGGCTCCCTGTTTGCTCCTACCAGAGCCCCCTCCAGTGCTTCGCAAAGAGGGGCCCCCCGGGACCCAGGGGCCCCGGGCCCCTGACCTTGTTCAGTTGCCTGCAGTTCTAAGGGGCCCCTCAGCAGTGGCAGCAAGACAGCGGGATGAGGGGGCTGCTGCACAGCCGGCAGAGGGGCCGCTGGGGGCCCCCGGATCCACAGACTCAGCAGCAGCAGCAGCAGCGAGTGTGGATGCAGACGAAGGCCCCAGGACTGCCTACAATGAGCTGAGGGAGTTGCGGGTAAGTGCAAAGGATGAGGTAGCAGCAATTCCTTTCGGGGCAGAGCAGGCACACGATTTCAGCCAGCAGCCATCTTGCATTGCTGCTGCTGCTGCTGCTGCCACTGCTGCTGCTGCTGCTGCTGCTGTTGTTTGGGGCCTCCAGGTGACGAGCCTCAAGGTGCACAGAGAAACAGGGGGCATCCTGGCCACTTCTTCAGACGCGGCGGCTTACTTCGACTTGTGTGAAGGGGGCCCCTGCCGCGCCCAGAAGAGTGGCTCCCAGGGGGCCCTCGGGGGGCCCCCAGGGGGCGCCGCCCGCTCTTTGCTGCAGTCTGCTGCAGCAGCAGAGATCGGCGACAGCTGGGAAGAGTACCCAGACTTCTTTTCTGCATGTGACCCTGCAGTGGCCCCAGAGCCAGAGGCGCAGGGGCCCCCTGCTGCTGCTGCTCAAGGGGAGCTTAAGGAAGGTTTCCCTGCAGCAGCTGCATCACAGCTGAGGGGCCCCCCTGGCTTCCCTGGGCCTCCTCAGGCGGCGGCTGGGGGCCCCCAAGGGGCCCCCACTCCCCAGAACCCCCCCGCCCCTGACTGCTGGGTGCAGCAGCTGCTGCAGGAGTCTCGAGGGGCCCCCCAGGAGGCCCTTTGGTGCTCAGCTTCTGTCGACATGCCGGAGCTGCGGGCTGCTCTTGGCCTTCCGGAAGAAGTGCCCCAGGGGGCCCTCTTTGGGGCCTCGGGGGCCCCCCCGGGGCCACCCCTGCACCGCCTTGCCTTCCTTAACTGTGAGAGGAACAACAGACACACGGCAGCAATGAAGGCGCACGCAGCAAAGCCATTAAGGCGGAAGAAGCAGCAGCAGCAGCACGGAGGCTACGGACTTGCGAATGGCTGGCCGGGTTTTGCTGCGTCCTTTTGTCCCTGCAGTTCTCTATGACGACTTCTTGGGGGCCCCTCTAACCCCGCATTCTGATGAAGGGCTCACGGGGGGCCTCTCGGCTTCAGCCCGCCTCCACGTAGAGTTCCTAATGGCAAGGCAAAGGCTAAGGGCCCTTCCGCGCAGCGGGGGCCCCGCGGGGCCCCTCACTGCCATTGTGCTGCAGCAGCTGCTCCAGGGGGCAACAGCCTGGGGGGCAGGAGCCCCCCAGGGGCCCCCCAGAGACCCCAAGAGGCGCTGCCGAGACTTCCTCATGAGTTTGCCCACGACCTGCGAAGATCCCAAAGAGAATCAGGGGCCCCGGGGGGGCCCCACCTGGCGGTGGGTTAAAGTCTAATTGGCAGCGCAGGGCCTTCGTGGGGGCCCCTGCAGCACTGGCAGGAGCCTCTGTCTCACGCCCCATTGCTGCTGCTTCTGCTGCTGCTGCTTGTGGTGCTGCTGCTTCGAACTGTGGGGCTACCGAGCGTGTCAGTTTGCTGCTGCGTGGCTCAGGGCCCCTCCCGCCAGCATCCTGGGGAGCCCGGCAGAGGACTTGCTGCAGCAGGACCCCGGAGCTGCACTTTTAGTTCACAGGGCCTCCACAAAGGAGGGGCAGGGGGCCCTTCTGAGGGGTTTCTGGCCCCCGCCGCCGCCCTGGCTGTCCCAGGAGGGGGGGCCCTGCGGCAAGCCGGGGGCCCCCCTGGGGGGCCTCCCCTACAGCACGCTCCCAGGGTACCCTAACATTAGAATGCCCACGGCCCCCCACGCCCGCCTGCTTGGGCAGTTGTTTTGTCCCCCCCTGAATTCTCAGCAGCAGCAGCAGCAGCAGCAACGGCTCCAGTGGATGCAGCGGTGGAGGTGGGCCGACGACTTGCTGCTGCTGAGACTGAGAGAATGCCTCTTGGCAAGGAAGCAAGCTCTCAGGCTGCAGGTAGGACAGGCCCTTCTGAATCCCCAGCCCTTGGCTTTATTTAGAATGCCTACACTGAGGGCAGGATATATAATTCGGGGCACTACAGAAGCAGCAACTCCTGCTGCTGATGCCGCTTCTGCTGCTGCGGGCGGGCTGGTTGCTTCTGACTCTGCTGCTTCTGCAGCACCCACTGCAAGATGGCTGCTGCTGCTGCCGGTGCTGCTGCTGTGGCTGCAGCGGGCAGCCTGCAGGCGACAAGCCCGGTTGGTGCTTCCGCGGGTGCGCGTTCTGAGTTCCTCTGCAGCAGCGGCAGCAGCAACAGCAGCAGCAGAAGCAGCGGCAGCAGCCGAAGCAGCGGCGGCAGCAGCAGCAGCGGCACAGGCAGAAGCTGCTGCAGCAGAGGAGTCGTTACTAGTGCTAGAGGGAGAAGGAGACGACGAGCCGTTTGCCGACGCATTCGTACGCCCATTATTGGTTGCTGCTGCTGCTCTGGGCGCTGCTACTTCTGCTGCTGCTGGGGTAGCTGTTGCTGCTTCCAGTGTCTATCTTTCTGCACGTGCAGCGCCCGGTCTGCGGGACGTGCTCAGGCGGATCTGCTGCGTTGCTGCAGCAGCAGCTAGATCTGCCGTTGCTGCTGCTGGTGCTACTGTTGTTGCTGCTGCTGGTGATGCTGTTGATTCTGTCGCTGGTGGTGCAGTTGCTGCTGCAACAGCAGCCAGGCCCGCCGTTACTGCAGCCGGTGGTGCAGTTGTTGCTGCAGCAGCTGCCCGGCTTGCCGTTGGTGCAGCGGGCGGTGCTTTTGTTGCTCCAGCGGCAGTTCGGTTCGCCGTTTGTGCAGCGAGTGCAGCAGCAGCGACATCCGCCGTTGCTGCTGCTGCTGCTGCTGCTGCAGGAAGAGGATGCCGATGCCTCCACTTGTGGGGAGCTGCGTTTGAGTGCAAAGGAAACAGCAGCAATAGAAGAGGAGATTCGCCGGGCTCAGCGCGAGCGCCTGGCGGTGCGTTTTGTGCCTTTGCAGTTTCTGTCTTTTTGCACTTTCTGCAAATCTGGGGCTCGGCAGCAGCCCCTCCAGCCTCGCTGAAGGCCTGCCGCTGCTGCTGCTGCTGTTGCTGTTGCTGTTGCTGCTGGGAGCCTCTTGTGGCAGCGCCAGAACAGCTGCTTCCTTTGCAGTGCGAAGCCAGGAGCAGCAGCAAACCAGAGTTAATGGGCTTTCATCTGCAGGCGCTGTGTCTGTGTCCCAGGAGCTGAACGCAGCAGCTGCTGCAGCAGCTAAACACGCAGAAGGGGGCCCAGCAGCTGCAGCAGCAGCAGACGAAGAACTCGCCATACAAATGAGGTGGAGCCTTTTATGCTGCTACTGCTGCTTGATACTCCTACTTGCTGCTTCTGTTTGCTGCTACTAGTTGCTAACTATGACCGCCAACAGTGTTGCTGCTGCTGCCTCCGAAACTGCTTGTTCTTTGGGTTCCCCTGCTGCTACTTCGTACCCGATGCGACTCCCGCTGCTGCTGCTGCTCTTGCTGTTGTTGTTGCCGCTGCTGCTGCTGCTGCAGGGTGGCCCGCTGGAACGCATACTTAGAGGACCGTTTGCTGACTCTGCAGTCTGTCCCTTCTTTCGATATTCGGGCCAGCGAACAGTCTTTACTTAGGGACGCCCTCCGCCTGCAGCAGCAGCAGCAGCAGCAGCAGCAGCAAGTAATCTTGCACTCCAAATTCCGTTTTGTCTTCCTATAAGGGACAGCACGACAGAAAGTACTTGAGCGCTGCTGCCTGCATCCTTCGTCTGTTTGTTGCTGCTGCTGCTCTTTCGCTGCAGACGCCTGTGTCTGCTGCAGGCGCAGAGGCGTCCAGCGAGGCGCCTGCTACTGCTGCTGCGTCTCCTGAGGCAGCTGAGCCAGTATCAAGCAGCAGCAACAGCAGCAGCAGCAGGCCTATTGCCACATTTGCTTCTCTAGTTCGGGGAAAGCCCCGATATGAAATTTGCCGGGCCTTTCTCACGACGCTTATGGTGAGTGGAGTTTACAGAAAGCCACCAGGGAAGAGAAGTTTTGACGGAAGCGTAGATACGCGCAGCAGCAGCAGCTGCTGCTGCTGCTGCTGCTGCTGCAGTAGAGGCAGCACGTCTTCTCTGCTGCTGCTGCGGTGTGGTTTTGCTGCAGCTCACAAACGCCCGAAAAGTCTCCATCCTCCACGAGACCAACGATGCAGATGAAGACCCAAGTAAGCTTTTAAATGAATCCAAATGGGGCACATATGAGGGGCCCCCAAATACTCCTGGGGCCATTCAGGAGGCCCCCAAAGCCCCACAAAAGAGTTTATGGGGCCCCAAATAGGAGTATGCGGGGGCCCCAAAAGCCACGTAGAGGCATGTGGGGACCCCCAGGTCGCGTTTGAGCATCTAGGGGTCCCTCAGAGTCCCGTAGGGATATATAGGGGTGCCCAAAAAGCAGCAAATCTGTAATGAGAGCCCTGAAGTGATTATAAGGGGCCCACTGGCCCCAGTGCTTCAGGTCTCTCTTGTTAAAGTAGAATTCTTATAAAATAATTAGAAGACACTTCCTGCGCTCCTTAGCCCGACCAGCTACAGCCGCAGCAGAGGCAGCACCTAGGCGCTCAGGCAGCTGCGGCAGCAACTGCAGCAGCAACTGCAGCAGCAGTTGCAGCAGCAACTGCAGCAGCAACTGCAGCTAAATGGGTCCGTTTGCGCAGGTGAGACAGGCGCGAAAGGGCACAACAACGAAGCATCAGACTTCAGCATACAACTTCTTCTTTCGCCGAAACAGATCGAGTGAGGCCAGTTAGAAACTTGCTGCTGCTGCTACTGGTATTGCTGCTGCTGCTGCTGCTGCTGCTGTGACGGCCACCTCCGAGAGCTTGCCTACCTGCCTTCTCTGCTTCTTTCATCAGGAGCGTCCTCTCCACGGAGTGACCCAACGGGCAGACAGGTGAGGCCCCCTGAGCAGGGCCCTGGGCGAGACAGCCATGCGGCGGCGGCGGCGGCAGCAGCAGCAGCAGCAGCAGCAGCAGTTTGGCAACTGATGTTCCTCAGCCAGTCACGGCAAACTGCTGGGAGGATTATTTGCTTCCAAATGCTGCAGCAAGGGGGGAGCCTCCATCCAAGGCATTCTGCTGCTGGGGGCCCCATCAGGGAATTCTGTGCAGCTCGGGGGCCCCAGCAGGGGCCCCCGTGCAGCGAAAGCGGAGGCGTGTGTGCCTGTGTATAACTAGAGCGCTGTGGGGCTAGAGGGACCCGCGGCAATCCGTCGCGTGACTAGGGTTGCTGCTGCTACTGCTGTGCTGCTTCTGCTGCTGCTGCTACTGCTGTGCTGCCTCTGCTGCTGCTGCTACTGCTGTGGTGCTGCTGCTGGTGCTACTGATGCTGCTGCTGGGGTTGGGGAGTGTAGTTTGTAGTGCCATCGGCTAGCCAGGAGCTTTGGCTAAGCAGCTAGCGACACAGCTAGCTACCTGGTGGGCTAGCTAGCTAGCTGAAGCCTGTGCAGCTAGCGGCCCTGTAAGGGCGTTCCTGCTGCGCCTCGCCAGCTGTGAAGCCGTTCGCAAGCCTTCCAGTGCCACACAGGGGAGCAGCAGCTCTATGTGTAACACTAATGCACATACAAAGGAGGAGAAGCCACAGAAGGCCCCAGAAACAGGGCCCCTTTTTTTGTTAGGGGGCCCCGAGAGGCCCCCTAAGACTCATCTGGGGGCCCATGGGTCTGATGGGGGCTTTTGTACACACAACAGGCGTCTCGAGCCTCCAGGCGCGCATTTATTTTGAGTCAAAGAAACAATAAAGGCATTTTAAAAGCATTCAAAGAGCATCTGCGGCTTGTCGGTGCTTCCAAGGGGCCCAAGTCATACACCGGGGGGGGGGGGGCCCAGCCAGGGGCCCCACATGGACCATGGGGGCCCCTGCAGTACCATAGATGCTTCCCTCTAGAGGCCTGTCAAGGCTGCTAGCAGCACGTAGAGGATCCCCCAGAGGCCCCTCAGGAGCAGCAGCTCTAACGGAAAGGCCTCTGGGTGCGTCAGCCAGAGCTACAGGGGGCCCCGGCAAGACCCTGGGGGCCCCACGCTGCAGCCCACTTTTGGGGCCCCCAGAAGGCCAGACCCAGCACGCGCGCCTCGGAGGTAGCTGCACGCTGCAGAAGGCGCAGCAGCAGCCACGGGGCAGCCCACATATCAGAGGGATCGCCATACAGCAGCAGCAGCAGCAACAGCAACAGCAGCAGCAGAAGCGACAGGGTGGAGGTGAGAGTGGAGAGGGGGGCGTTGAAGGCATCCCGCTTTGCTGCGGGAGCCTCCAGCAGCAGCTGGAGTTGCTCCTCAGAGCTGCGGGGCCCTGGGGCTGGGGTCCCCTGCTGATTGCAGCACTGCAGGAGTGCAGCAGCAGCACCACCACTGCAGCTGGCTGCGTCACCAGGTTCAGCAGCAGCAGCTCTGGTGATGCCACTGGTGACAGCGTCAGCACCGTTTGCCCGGCTGCTGCTGCTGCTGCTGCAGCTGGAGACCAAACGGGGCCCCCATGTGGGGCTGCGCTGCAGCAGCACCATCTGCTGCTGCTGAAGGCGTTTCGAGCTGCTGCTGCTACTGCAGCAGAGCGAGAAGAGACTCCACAGCAGAGGCTGTCAGCAGTTGTAGCTGCAGCAGAGGGGCACTTGGCAGCCATACACTCCAGTGCTTCTCTGCGGGACGCCGCACATTTTCTCTCTGCTCTTAGTAGACTCAGCAGCAGCAGCAGCAACAGCAGCAGCAGCAAAGCAGCACGGACTCTTCTAAGCAGCAAAGCCTGCAGGTCTCTGTTTCTTTCGGCAACTAAGTCCGCTTTGCAGCAGCTGAAGATCCGACTAAAACACAACAACTCCACTATCCCGCAGCAGGTGGACCCAGGAGTAGCAGCAGTAGCAGCAGCAGCAGCAGCAGCAGCAACGGCAGCAACAGCAGCAGCTGCGCCTACCGCCAGCCATCCGACAAAGGCGGACCGGGATTCGGGCGCCCACAAGAGCCCTTCGAGGACCACAGCCGCAGCAGCAAAAGTAGGAAAGCCAGCAGCAGGCGAAGCAACAGCAGAAACACTAAATGCAGCAGCAGCAGCAGCAGGAGCAGCAAGCGCCGCTGCGGGTGCTGCTGCAGAAGAACGCCTACGGAGCTACGGGGTTTCTGTTGCTCTTTTGTGGGGCGTTGTAGCGAGGGGGCAGGGAAGCCAGGAGTGGCAGCTGGGAGATAGGCCGCAGCAGCTGCTGCTGCAGCTGTCGGAAGCTATGCTGCAGCGGGAGCAGCAGCTGCTGCTGCCTTTGCTGCGGCTGCTGCCGCAGACTCAGGAGCCCCTGCTGCACCTGCCGCAGCAGCAGCAAGCCGAGCTTAGGAAGCACTTCCTTGCGGTAGATTCTGTCTCTTGGTTCCTTTTCTGTGCTGCTGCTTTGGGGTGTATCTCCACCTCGCTGGCAAGGGGCGCCCTTTTGCTGCTGCTGCGCTTTGGCCGCCTGGAGCAGCAGCAGCCGGAAAGGGAGCTGCGCATGCAAAGACGGCCACGGGCTGCGTCTTTGGGAACCCTTCAGCGCTTCGTAGCAGCTGCCGCGCTGCAGTTACAGTGCAGTGGCAGCCGCCGCAGCAGCACCAG